TCCGTGTGTAACAGCACGTCGTAACAATTAGAATGACAAAAATCGGCAAGAATTTGGCGCCATCGTGACTATTCTATAGTTATATATTTGAATTTTGGAGCTAGATCGACTTGACACTTTACACCGAACTTGCATTACATTATCGTTAATCGTTAACTCGAAAACCCGCAGCATCACGTGACAAACTTATTCGACTGCACTCGATTTTCGGCTGGACAAAAAAGAGAGACCGAAGCAAAAAATTTGCGCGCTGTGCACACTTCGATGACCGCGCGTCGCGAGCGTGGGTGATTCACGCGGTAGTGGTCACTGCACCGTGTGGTTCGCACAGCTATTTGCATGCGTGCAAACAGCTTACAGCACGATCGACGCGACCGGTTAGCCGGCGCGTCTCAAAAGACTGAAAGTCCGCGCGGCTTTTCGTTTTGAACGACTACGGTCCGTCTCGCAGAAGCACACGCAGCAGTGGTTAAAACGGCTCGCGGGAGCGGCTCGTCGACTGCGCGGCTGTATATAATATTGCAAAGAAGCGCATGCGCTCGAGAGAGAGAGACACATTTTGTGTAGCAGCAGCAGACTTTGCCTCGGCGCGCTTCTCGTATCGTTTTTTTTTATTCCTTCTTTTTTTCCAATGCTCCGCTTTTGCTGCGATGCCGAAGGGCAGAAGGAGAAAAAAAACACACACACACACAGACTCGCGCGGCGTAGAGGAAGATGGAAAAAAAATAAGAAGAAAGCACGCAAAACTCGAGGGAGAGAAAGAGCTGGAAAAGACAAGATAATGTGCTTTGCTTAAAACGCGTGCGTGACGGATGACTTCTGTATATTTTTGCAAATGCGCGCGTGTGCTTTCGCTCTCATTTTTTTATTCCCCCCTTTTTATTTACTTTTAAGGAGTATATGTATAAAATAATGCCTCGCGTTGGCTGCTTTATTTATCACCGAGAGCGCGGCAAGCAGCTTCACGATTCGGAAAAAAGCTTTTAGCTCGCGTGATCTTTTGCATCGATCATCATCGATATGTCTCTGTGGCGAAGAGGAAAACACGCTAATGCGCGTCGTCCCCTCGGCCGATGTGTCTCTTTACATTAACGCGCGTGTGGCTCGTTCGGTACAAATCTGTCAAAAAAATTAATAACAATAATAATAACGAACTCGAGAGAAGTATAATAGTGAGCTACGTGCCTCCCTGACTTCTAGGCTAACAAACAATCTTTTCTCCAAATTCATTATATATAATAACGTTTCGAGGCAGGCCTCGATGTAAGACAGTAGGCGCGATACAACATTCAAAGAAACGCAAGCAAGCTCATACGTATCTCCCCTTTTCGCGTATATATTCGCAAGACCGAGAGAGAGAGAGAGAGAGACGATGCAACGTTCGAGCTTGGAAAAAGAGAGAGAGACAGAGATATGGCCGAGAGAAAGACGTCTGTCTACCGAGAAGTCGCCTTTATTTTGGGAACACCATGCATATGAATACATACACGCACGACGTGAAATCATAAATGGTCAGCACGCAATGAAATTGAGTTTATCAAAAAATTTGCGCGTCTGCGCTTCCGTTAATTCCGTCTTGTCTGCATATTTGCTTTACTGAATTACGTCGATGCAGCGCGTATGTTGTATCTTTAGCTTAGCCGTCAACGTGGACGACATTATTGCAACGTATTTTCGCAAGGTAAAAATTAGGTCGAACGTCGATGTATAAGTCGTCGATGCATCGCTCGTTGATTAAAAGTTCCATTGAATTAATTGCCCACTGGATCGAGTTTAGCCACGCGGCAAATAGACTTTTTAAAACTTGCCTATGACACGTCAATGTATGATACACTACTTATAAACATATTAATACGATATACGCGTGTTTCATTTAGTATAGCGAGTCAGATACGAAGAATCGCAACCTTGACGATCGCGATCCTCGTGTGTGTGTGCATCAACGACCGATCAGGTTCAAAGGCTTTCGCAGATCGAGACGTATATTAATACGAAAGACGAGAGCCGAGCTTCGATATATCATCGCAGCGCGATGATGAACTTTTTATACTCGCTCTAGTTTTTTTTTGCTCTTGCTTTATCGCAATTACGATATTATCGACCGACGGACGTTGATGCCACGCCACGCGCGCGCGCGCTCGAAACGAGATATTAATTGTTTGACGTTTTAATCGATTTATATCTATATAGTACGCAAGGGCTGTTTCTCAAACGACGCGAGTGTAAAAACTTTTTCGATTAAAGCACTTTTTTCTATATAAATTACTTTTTTTGTAACTCATTTGACGATAGAGAGAGAAAAATAAACGTATACTTAACGCCCTATGAAAGCTGCAGAGAAGTGGGTGCGTCAAATTGTATTATTAAATATATAAACCAAGTGTCCCTTGTATGGGTGCGACGCGCGTGAATGAAATCCATATATACCGTCGCTCTCTTATATGGACTGTGTCTAAAAATATACACTTAATTACCTTATATCCTAGACAAATTTGGCCTCGTTTTTCGCGACGTCTACATAGCCCCAAAACGAAGAAAAACAACAACATTGAACAACAAAACCTCAGCAAACAGGAAGAGCCCCCCCTCTAATATATCTTACGAACTGCGCTCGCAAGAACAATCTGATCCGCAAAAATTATATTCGCCGTATCCGGTGAATTTGGCGTATAATAAACAGTCAACGCACATCAACGCCTCGCTCTCGTGCTGCGTCCCGTGTGATATATGTCCTCGCGGACGTTTATATATTATACGTGTAACAAGTTGAAAGCCTATATAGACGAGATAAAAATTTTTTTGAGCGCTGCGTCGTTTATACATTGCTATATATAATATACTACTGACCCCTTCTCGAGCTTGTAACAGAAATTATGTGGACCGAGGCTCGATTATTTCATTATGCCCTGCGTGCGTTTGTGTATAGTCTGGCAGTGCGGCAAATGAAGGCGGTATTTTTTTCGCATGTACACGAGAGAGCGCAACACATGCATAGCAGCTGAAGCGCAGAATTTTTCGGAAATTCAATTCGAGTCGACGACTTTTTTATAAACCTTTTTTTATTGCTATACCAGCTTCATCTCTGACCTTGTCCTCAAACTAACGAAGGAATAGATAGCGTGGTGTCATTAGAAACCGTGCTTTGACTTATACCGTTAATTTTATTTTGCCACTTGCAGTTTATAAAGATACAGGAACTCGCCATCTTTCGGTGAAGGCTGAAAGTAGTATTATCATATTTAACTTTTCTTAAATAATTAAACCGTCACTTTTCAGGTCATTCAAAATTCACTAAATATTTTTAACATAATTGTAACTGAGAAATCGCTAAAAACAAGCTAAATAATGATAATTTACTTCAAATTTGTTTAAATGGCCATCTATTGATCGTTATTAGACCATTATCAATGTTGATCGTTTCTACCAGGCTATGTAAGAGAAAATATTGCATACATGCGTTCTCGAACTTTTCATTTGTACGCGATCCTTAATTGATATTTCTCATTCACTTTGCACAGGGTAGAACCGCATCTTCCTTGTCGCGGGGACGGCCTCGACGAAACGATGCAACTTCAACAATAGACGTAATTTTGCGCGCGCGTTTATCCAGGTGAATGAATTTTCCCGCATTATTATCGCCTGACGATTGCCAACGGGCGCCACGTTGTACACCGCAATTGTTATAAATAATATGGCGTAATAATACAGCTCCCATATGTATTAATCGAGCTATTATAATATCGGAGCGGTAAATTTATGCTGATTTGTCGCTCGCGTCTATTGTTGCTGCTACATAACGGAGGCTTCAATTACGCTCAGTTTTATATTGTATAACATTATTACGCGACAAAGCCCGGGTCATACTTTATATTTTATGTACGCATAGACATGTCTATCAAAGAACGCGCACGTGGGAAAAATTTATGAGGAATAGATAGCGAGCGTCGGCGAATTCATCGTTTTGGAGTCAAGTTCGATTTCGCTCCTCGTCGACCCTCAATGATTTTAAATTTCCCAAAGTGTTACTATCGCAGCGAGCAGTGATTTATAAATACATAAATTTCGTTGAAAATTCCCATGAGCGCCACCAAACCAACGATACAGTTTCAATTTCACACGAGTCACCTGTGCAACATCCCACAAGTTGATCTCAACGCTGTTTTCCTTTCTATCTCGAGCGTGCGTGTATACCATTAAAGCTTATAATTCCCTCGACAGAAATTCGATACAAATCGCTTATATATCGTAGATTCGAAGTCGCGCCTCTCTCGTTCGCTCTCTCTCTCTCTCTCTCTCTCTCTCTCTCTCTCGCGAGTATCAGAAAAGCAGCTCTCGTCTGTGTGTATATAATTGCGGATAAAAATAGTAATAGGCTTTTGGAGAGATGATAAATACACCCACGCGCGCGCGTGCTGATCGCCGCGAACTTTGAGGCTCGCAAATCATCGAGGCACCAGAAATAGCCCCGCGCGCAGAAGTATACAGTGCGCGTATGTAGGGGGAGTTTCTCTTACACCTCTTCGTCTGGCTCGTGGCTTGATTTTTTGGTATCCGTGTAACATCGTGTATACTCGCTCGCGTGCCGGGATTATTTTTTTTTTTTTTTTGCGCGCGCGATTATTATTTTTGCGGTCGGTGAACTTAGAAAGATCGGTATTATTACACACGCTGTAATGTTTTTCGTATACGTCGCGCCGAGGATTTACGAGTCAAGTCGATCACGGCGCGTCGATTTATTATATCGCATGAAAGATCCGTCAGTCGTGCGGGACCATTTAATTGTCTATTTTTCAAATGTCGTTTCAAGCCTCGTGGAAAATTTTCTTTTATTCACGTGGCAGCTCGTTATACTCTCGTACTAAAGTTTCGTGCGTGCGCGTGTACACTTTGAGCTCTGGTCATAGATGTCGCTTTATTACACGCACAGCATTTTTACTCCCGGGCCTATTTAATAATTTCCATTGTATTTTCTTTACATTCGTTATGGCCTCTTTGTTTACCTTGTTTAATGGCTAGTTTGACGCTATCGTCGGGGACGTTCTGGCTCGTTGTCGTCGTTGTCGGCTTGAGATTGCCCTCGTCGTCGACGCCGTCGAGGTAAGTCCCGATGGAATGTCGTCTGCGCCGACGCTGTTGCAGAGCCGCGTTCTGACGCTTCTTCAAGCGGCTCATGCTCGAAAACTTGTTGTTGCCCTGCTGATTGAGAAGAAATAGAAGAGACGTACAGTCTTATTTTTATTTTGTCTTTGCTTATAAGGCATTATTGGGAAGGAAGAATTGTGTATACGAACGCGATAAAACATAAATAGGGTGCTCGGGCCGCGCGCGAATCGCTCACCACTGCCGCGATGATATATTGCCATTTGTCACTTTTGAGATTTAATTTACTTTCGGATTACATTAAAATGGATATATTACAGTCCACGACGCACCGCATCGTAACTCTTTCAAAATAATAGTTATCTTTTTCAACTTACCAAATTGTTCAGAGTCCCAGGTACATTGTAATAGCTTCGGCTTGGCTCGATCTCGTCGATGGGCAAAGTCGACGCTTCGCTTCCGCACTCGCTGTCCCTGTCGTAGCTGTAGTAATCGTTTTCCTCGACCAGAGCGCGATTTCCATTGTTGCTGTTGTTGTTATTGTTGCTGTTGCTGTAGCCGCTGCTCTGAAAAGACGACAACGACGCACCACCAGCGCCACTGGTGGAGGAGGCGGGGGCGGCATTTTGCGCGAACTCTTTTTTCTTGCCGCCGCTCAGGCCGAAACTACGACGGCCCGTCTGGCGACTCACGCTGCCACCGCCGAACATGTGTCTGTGAGAATTATGTACCGAAACGGATGTTTTTGAAAAAAAATCTGTTTGTGGTGTTGTAACGATAATCCACGCGACTAATGTAACAAACCAACTATACACACTCACCTTTCGTTGAGATAAGGCGAGGGTGGCGCCATGTCTTCTGGTCTGGGATCGCCGTTCAGAAATTTCTTCGCTTTCTCCGGATCCTGGATCAAGCTCGCCGAGCGAAATAAATTTTTCAAGCTTTTCTTCGACGACGGCGACTGCGCCATGTTCTTTTGACATGCACCACTGACATTGTTGCCAGCACTGCCGCTGCTGCCATTGCCTTTGTGACTGGTACTCGGGATATGTTGCTTACCCGTCAGCATCACCGGAGTACACCTGATTTGGCCATTGTTCATCGACGTCGGAGTGGATATCGTTGACGACAACGACGTAGTCGACGAGGCCAGTGTCGGTGGTAGCGACGATGGCTGCTCTTCCAGCTGCTGCTGCTGTTGCTGTTGCTGTTGTTGCGACGATGACTTTTTGTTCGAGCGACGGAACAGGCTGCCGAACGTTCGGCTGCCCGAGTCAGAGTTACGCAGCGAAAAGTAGGATGGATTATCTGCAACGAGAAGAAGAACGATTGTGGTAATGATTGTCATGGCTCGAATGAAATACACGTGTATTTATTTGTTCCCGCGGTGGAGAATTTCAAACATGCACCATATTTGTGCACGGGTGTTGTGTGTGAATGTGTGTTTGTGTGCCTAGGCGCGTGCTGTCAAGAAAAAAAATGCAAAGAAAAACACGACGAGGCGCCGGTCGACGCCCGGCCTCTTTTGATGTGCGTTACAGTTTTTTTCTCTCTTTTTTCCTTATAGTCTCAAAAGTGCGTGTGCAGTTTTATATAAATAATTCCAACGCACTGCACGCGAACCGTCTATTATACGGATTAGAACTGACAAAGCTCGTTTTGCAGCTTCCCTCCTTTTTTATCGCCCTCAATTTTCAACTCGTGCGTTATATTACATCGCGTTGATCTGTACGAAATAATAATCATATCGGAGAGAGAGTGAACTTCGGAAGCTTTATATTTATGCTCGGGACAATTGTCTTCTTCTTTTTTTTCTTCTCATTATTGTTCCATTAAGAGATACACAGAGAGAGAGAGAGAGAGAGAGAGAAACGAAATACGAACAGAGCAGCTCCGCGTGTGTGTATACGAGCCGAGAAGAGGAAGTTACTCGGGTTTCATCCGTCCGACGTGTACAAAACATTCACGACGCCGAATGCTATATGTATATATTATATTATTGACATGTCTATATAACGCGTACGAGGACAAAGTGAAAATTACGCATTATCGGCATCAATTGAATTGAATTATGCATTAGTGCTCGTACATACGTACTACCTATATTCTACGCACAGTGCACTTCGAATTTGGCGTTATTGCATTATACGATTCTAATGCGAAATCAGGAATAAAAGATTAAAAAGGAAGAAAAGATGCAGAGATGCAAGTACGCAAAGTCTCGGGGCTCTTTTCTTCTTTTACTTTTTGCATATAAGCGCGTGCATTTTGCGCGCTGCATTCGCGATGCGATATAACTAATTCAAGACAGGAAATGGCCGTGCGTCGTCAGTCTTGTACTATACCAGCGGCATACGACGAGCTCGGCGTATCTCCGCAGACGCGCGCAAATGTACTGCTGCTGTACTACTGCTACTGTTGTCGCTGTTTCTGTTGCTGCTGCTGCTGCTGCTACTGCACGCGGACGAGTATAAGAGAAAGAGACGGAGATGTGCAGACCGGACGCTACATTGTTAATATTAAACTCTCTCTCTCTGTCCTTCTCTTTTTCTTTCTCTATGATTCTACTTTTCGCGCCTTGTCTATTAGGTGTTCTCGTCGTTGTCGTCCTATAGTATACGTTAGAATATAGAGGTACGTAGTCGCGACGTCGTTTCAATTAATATTACAATTAACAGACGCTCGGAAAGTATTTATTTAAAAATTTGTAAAAACACAATTTATACCATTTTATTTTTCATTTACTACTTGCAGATTTACCGATGAAGGTACTCGCCATCTAGTGGTAGAAGCTTACTTATGATTGAATTTACATGAATTTTATAAGCAATTCTAATCAAAATTTTTAAATTTTAGTATATACGAGATATTTTTTTTAAGTTTGCGTTAAAAAGTAATGCACGTGATTGTATTTCCATGCATTTTTTGTACAGTTTATGCAAAAAAATAAATAAACATTGATGCATTAATTTTTAATAATGAATTTGTGTACAAGTAGCTCAAATATACTTTCGTATCGTTTAATTTAATTTTAATGTCTGATTTTAGATCAAATCCGCATTAAATGCAATGCTTTTATTTAACATATTGCACCTGATCGTAACACACAAATCGAAAACTGATCATAGCGCATTTGCGCCATAATCCAATCTAAATTCAGCTCGGTACGCGCGTAAAATACGAATTTATTTTTGCTAAAGGTGCGAATTTACAATATGCATGCATAATCTCCGGAGAAGGCCGCACGCATCATCGGCTGTTCATTGACGATATTCCGTTGGCGGAGGGCTTTGAAAAGCTCATACGCGTTTGCCAAGCGTGTTATGATATATATACTGCGCGTTTATAAGCTGCTACTGCTGTTGCTGCTGCTGGGCGCAGGATCAAAGCAACGTATGTACTGGACTCGAGAACCGACTTTTTTTTTCATATACTTTGCGGACTCTCATGTGCTTATATATATGCGATCACGTGCACGCACACATACGCACACGCACACAATACGAAGCGCCGCGAGTGAGTGCAAAAGATCAAAGGGTATCATTCTCTTTTGCTCGCGCGCATCTCGCTCCCGCGACCGCACCGTACGCTATATAAGTATACCGCGTAATAATATGACACATAACGCGAAATACGCATACATTAGCCCTGGATTTCTTTGTAAGATATATAGGACTTCCACTATTACATATATTCGGTTCGTGCTATAACGTGGGTGCGTTATAAGGCTTTTTTCCGAAACATAAATTCAATACTGTCCTCGAGACGCGCGCGATCTCAGCTCGCATCGAATCCGTATGATATATGTACATTTTCGCTGCTGATACTCGGAAAATTCAAAAATTCAAGACGTTCGCGCGAACGAAATTTTTATACGTAATACATCGAAAATATTTGCAGCTGCTCGCCGCCGCCCATGGAGTGAAATTTCAAAAACGACGCGTATCACGTAGTACCGCACTCGAACGTGTGTGCCATAGTGCTGCACGCACAGTCACTGACGCACACACGCACACACTCGATCGCTAAAGGATAAAAATCGAATGACGTAAAAGGACGTATTTTTTTTTTGTACCGAGAATGCAGAAGCTTACTGATACACGTATATGCATGATCGCACGTGGACAGATGTAAAATAATAGTTTTTCTTTATATATAAAAAAAAAAAATCGCACGTGCGCAGCGCGCAAAGGTTCACATACGCTCAAACTGTGCGATACAAGGATGCTTGGACGTAGCTTTTTTACCCGACCTTTTTTTTTCTTTCGCCTTTTTTTTTTGCAACGAATAATATGCTCGTTTTTACGCGTTGGCGTTTGAGAAAAAGAGTCCGCAATGTGCCACAGGGCTTTTTCGTATAGCGACTTTGTCGCGAAAGGAGTTGAGGAAGCTCGTTACACGAGCACAAGCCCGTGAAGTGTGCAGCGTATTGGAAAAAGATTACGAAATATATGTATAAACGTACACGTGTAACAGAAAAAGAAGCGGAAAAAGGAAACGACTTACCTATCGCCATTTTTATAGCCAAAGGTGTGACTGCAATCGGGGCTTTTTCCGTATTTTACCTGTAACGATATATAAATACATGATTGTTTAGAAAAAAATCAAGAGTAAAATTAAAATATTTATATCTGCATGATAAACTAGGTACTAAAAATACTAAACAAGGGCTGAAAAACTTATGAGATGGTGAAGTTTTCGATAATATGCAAAAAAGTTAACTTCAAAATTCTGACCTTAGACTAGCCCAAATAAAACAGTCGACAAAGCGTCAGTGGTTTTTATTCGCAACGCATACTCCGAAGCGATACCTAAACTTTCCACGATCGTCTTGAAGAGAAGAAAAAAAAAGGGAGAAATTTTTCTTCAACGTTGTCGTAGCGTAAAAAGCATACGCCACCACCAGGGATTTTATTCTTTTTTCCTTTTTTTTATCGATACACTGTACTAAACAACGCGATAAAAAGTAGGAATTACTGGGCGTATACGCAAACAAGGGGCGCGGAAATTTTATCTCGCTCAGGACCTGCAGGTATAGATGTATGCATGTAGCAGCACTGCAGGACCTTGACACGTCTCTCGAGCCTGCATGCATATATCGCTCAGAGAGCTGAAGCAGCAGAGCACGCGGTTGTATTTTAAAAATCGCTGTATTAAGCGACGCGAGCTTTTTTTTATGCACAGCGTGCCAGCGCGCGCCCGATATAAAAGTGACAGCTTTGAGCCGCGCGGCGCAAGCGTTCTCCGGGCTGAGAAAAAGGAGTCTCCCGCGTGCACGGGCAAGCGCCATCCTCGTACACTGGCTCGACAGACGAGACGCGCGCGCGCGGCGAAAGTTTACCATTGCGGAAAAGCTCGTATAGCTGCGCTCGCGCGCATATAGAAGAAAGAAGTAAAACGAGATTGCTGCAGGCAGATTAGTTTTACAAAGCCTTTTTCGCGCGAGGATGGAAACGAAAGTAAAAAAATAGTCAGAATAGAATCGACGATCGTTGACAAAGAAATAAAGAGAAATAAGATAGCGAGGAAACTGCTAGATTCCGATGCACTCTTGAGTGTATACGTGATCGTCGCGGAGCTCTATGTGTACGCGTAAATTTGCACATAGACGCGTACAGAGAGTTGATTGCTCGCTGTGCTACGTTCCAGCGTTGTTACACACACACACAAGCTGATGCTGTTGCTGCTGAACTATTTTAAGCCCCGGCATACCCCTTTTTAAATACATCGGTGCTTTTTGCACTGCGTGCTTACGGTGTGCGTGTACGCATATAAACGCACATATAATTACACTCAGGCGCGTGCCCGTATTACCATTATACTACTGGAGGCAGCTTTCTCTCTCTCTCTCTCTCTGCGAGAATATAATGCCCTTTAACAAAGTAAGATTTTCTCCGGGGTTTATTAAAAAAATTGCTCCGTGCACTCGGCGCTCGCACACAGAGCACTTTGTGGATTGCGCATATATATATTTGACTTTCGTGCACCGCCTGTGCACACGTACCGAGAGTATATTATATTCTTAGTCATCGCGGCGTCGTTATCCTCTCGAGACTGACAACAGAAGACGATGAAGAAAGAAAGAAAGACACAGCTATAAGTAGTAGGTTGCACGTGAGCTTATCTGACGTCGTCGTCGTCGTCGTCGTCTTTCTGCATATCGCATATTTTTGTCTCGTAAAAATTAATAAGTTTCTGTTTATCCAATTTCTGGTAGAAAGGCTCAACAATGATAACGGCCCAATGACCGGAAATCGACAATTAAAAATGTTCTAAAATACACGACTATTATAGGCTTTTTTGGCGATTGTGCTAATAGAATCATTGTAAATGACTTGAAATTGACAATTCAACTGTTTCAAAAAAACTAGTTCAGTTCAACCACTTTAAATACAATAACACTGAGCTTCAGCCACTAGATGGCGAGTAATTTCATCTGTATAATCTGCAAGTAGCAAAGTCAAAATAATTGTGTATAAATTAGAGTCACTTGCTCGCTTTGAAATATTATTGTCAAAACAAGTACTTTTCCAAGATAAAAATTTACGAGGAATTCATTGCTGAACTTATTTTTACATTGTATTAATTATTAACTGCATAATATACGACTTTATGTGCACGAGGATGCTGAACTAAAGCTCGGCGACACCTGCGAGTGTACAATATCGTAATAGCAATCGTCCTCAGTTTACGCTGCACAGGTGCAACACATCCTGTTATCCATAGTAATGAGCCGTAATGCCAGCCATATAATTTGCACTTCTTGTTAAATCGTCTTTCTTTTTCGTATAAAATCACACTTTCTAAGTTGATGTGACAATTATAATAGGAGCTGAGCGTGCGACGAGTTTATATTGCGGACTCTCTCTCTCTCTCTCTCTCACTCTCTCTTGAGCTGCGCGCGCGTTAATTGAATTCGAGCTTTTGCGCGTATATAGAGCGAAGTAAACGCGCGTAAATCGCCGCCGTACAGCTAGAATAATAATACCCAATTCCCGAGCTCTCGCTGGAGCCGCTGTAAAGTGTTTTATATGTGTGTCGCAGCTAAGACACTGCGCGTCGCTCCAAGCTGCAATAGGCCAGTAATACCATCGCACGTACTACATTATACGAATAAGAATCTCGTATATAAAGCGTAAAATATATGACTTAATTCTGCATATAAATGCCAATGATAAAACTGACTCGAGGATATATTAAATCCCCCACGACTCCGGTATATATAGCTGCCACGCGCGGCCGCAGCACAGCAGAGCTTGAGCATATAATTCGTTTACGTTATAGTACGTTTTACTTTGCGGATTTGACGATCGACTATATATCCCTCGGTGTTATTACTATCGTACTACTACGACTCGCGAAATATCGAGAGCCCAGCTTGCACTGCGGTTCCGGCAGCGCAGTAGCTTACCGTATAAACACCTACGCGCGGTATCTACGAGCTTTCTTGTTAACGAGATTATACAAGTCATTATGCTGAGGAGCTTCGGTGCATTATAATTTCGACGATCCCTGTGAGGTATTAGATACGAGCCAGCTCTACGTAAGACTGTGTAATAAAGCAGCGACAGACGTACGTAGGCAGTGGATCCAGATTATTGCTGCCATTGCAAGATTTATCGTTCGCATCGTATTATGCACGTTGTACTTGAGCCACGCGCATATATTATATATTATATACTTTATAAAGTAGCTGGGAGAGCTCAACTCGTGGATGACCCGATAGCATTAAACTAGATACTCTACATTAAACGACGCTCCAGCAGATGATAAAAAAAAGGTTAACTGTGAGAACAGCAGCAGCATGTAACAAGCGACCGGGAATTCAAGTTTAAAGCCCCGATGGCTTATACACACGTACGCGCATGTCAGCGCTGCTTACACCGCTATCAATTTATAGACTCTCCGAATTCGAGGTGTCATATGCAGCAGCTGCGCGCAAAAGAAAGCGAGAGGGGCAGAGAGAAAAATAAGGACAAAAACAACTTTTCTTTTTCGAGCTTGCAGAGGGCTAAGATTTTTTGCAGCTGCTACTGCGCACACTGCATCGCAGAGATAGGCTCTCCCTTAATAAGCAGCAGTAGTCTCATTTGCGCCAAGCAAGAGGCAAGTAGAACAAAACGAAATTTTTTGGCGAAACAAAAGTATATAAACCGAAAAGCCGCATCGTTACTGCCCATACAGCAGAGAGTGACAGAGAGAGAGAGAGAGAGAGAGAGAGAGAGAGAATTGCCGCTACCGTGCAGCCGTGCAGCGGCAGAAATCTGAGTGCTGCGCGTCGCAACAGCTAATACAAGCTGCGGGTCGTCGAAACGAGCGCGCCACGTGCTACCCATATGCACAAACACACACATACTCGCACACACAGGCACCACACTATAAGTCGCGCGACTATTTTTACGAACTACTGCTGCTGCTACTGCCACTGCTTATATACGAGAGATATATATGTGTGTATTATATACGCTAGCGCGAGGATAATCGTGACTCTCTTGAGCGCATCAAGGCCGGAAATCGTCGGGGTATTATTGTGTTGCGCGTATAGCTGCGGCTCCGGTACGATGCACCAGCATCAGCAGCAGCACATGTGAATCTGTCGCGAACTCGACCCGATGTAGCATACACACGAGTTGCGTACACTCAATATATACGTACATGTAGTCTCTCTCTCTCTCTCTGTACGCATAGATTAACAAGCAAATTGGACGAGTGCGTATATGTATATAAACGCGAGCCGTCTCGAGCTCGATCTCGTAGAGTCTCGCAGAGCTCTTAAATGCTGCTCTCTCAGCAGCTCAGCGGTAAATACAATATTTTGTATCTAAATCAAATGTGCGTGTATATATTTTCGTATATCTTTTTTTTCGCTCTCTATCTCCATCTCTAGCTGTGGATGGTACTTTAGCGCATCGTTGAAGGCGAGAGATATATAATCGAGAGCTGTACGCGGAATTTATAACGAGATTCGATCGCATATATATGAATTTTTGCGAAGCGAGCTTTTTAACGCTGCTGCTGCGTTTGTTTTCGTTTCGCCCGCGAGCGCCACACCGCTCGCTGTGCTGCGTCAATGCTAAGAAAATAACGCGACAAAAAAGACGAAGAAGAGTCATCGAAACGATCAAACGCACGAAAAACAGATCTCTGGATTTTGTGTGTATAATGGATTCTCGAATTTATACCGTCGCACGCGCATGCGGCATATAATCGCAATCGTCACCCTTATCAAAGCACAAAAATCTTCATTGCTGCTGCTGCTGCTGCTGCTGCTGCTGCAGCTCGAGTTACTCTCGCTCTTGAGAAAACTGCGAGATCTCGACGTGCGAAAATAAACTCTCGATTCGGATGCAAGTGCAGCGCATGCATCGTGCGCACGAGCGGCGCGTCGCATACGCTCTGTGCAAAGCCGCGCGCGAAACACGCATTTGTTTATTAATAGCTTGACGCTCCCGCGCGCGTCGTTTGCTCGCCGTAGCGAGTTTGTTAATGCAATATAAGTACTGTAAAATAAATTCGTGCAGAAAATGCATTTACGAATTCAGGGTAAACTGCACTTACCAATCGGTTCTTTTCATTATTTTTCGTTTTGTTTATCTCTGTAGCTCGCTCTCGATCGAGTAGTGCGTGCGATTTTACTCACGATCCATTGCCCGCACTCAGCTGATGCACTGAGAAATCCGATCGATCGTCGCTGCGGTAGTAGCCGAGCAGCTCGAGGCTCTCATATCGTACGCTGCATTTTGGAAACTGACCAAACAGATATAATGCACTTACGCGCACGAGAGTATCAGAGACGTATGCACTCAAATAAACACAAGCACACGCACACTCGCGGACACACAAGCTCTCCGATCGAGCTCACGGACCGAGAGCTAGATCAACCGTAGACAAGCTCGCATGTGTTTTTCAACAAAGATCGCACAGTAAAAAAAAACCGAGGAGAAATAAAAGTCCAAGGGGGAAACGAAAGAGAAGAAAAAAATAATAATAAAGCAAGGAAAGAACTAACGAACTGACGCGACGCGCGTGCTCCGATGGCTCATACGGTCGTAAGCCGACTAAAAAGCTTCGGCTGGCTGACCGCGAGTCGGGCGCGTGTAGTGTGTGCGTGCGTTATATATATAACGATAAATACGAGCTTGGCAGTGTTGCTACTGTTGCTTCTGCTTCTGCTTCTGTGGGCCCCGAACGCGTCGAAGAAGCAAAGTAAGAGAGAGAAGGAAAGAAAGAAAGAAAGAGAGAAAGGAGCCGCCCGCACGATGTATACATGGACGCGAACGAGCGAGCTTGTGTGTGTGTATAGTAGTAGATGTATATACAACTCACAAGTCTCGAGTCATCTGGCTCTGTTCCATCTCTTTTTCTCTCTCTCTCTCTCTCTCTCTCTCTCCCGACGTTTTCTGACTATATACAACGTGCGCAGGGAGACAATATAGGCACGTGTATAGAAGAGAGATAGTGAGAGAGAGAGCGAAAACGGCTACCGATATTCGTTATATATGGCTGCTGAACGTGAGCTCTACGATATATCACGTACATACATATATATTGTCTATGGCTCGAATCACTTGTTTTTACCCTCTTATACACGGTTTTCGATGCAAATAAAATAGCTAAAATAGTGAAAAATTTTTTCCTTTTAACTTTCCTATACCGGAATGTTTGCGCTCGCGATCGTCCGCTCATCAAGTTTTAATTTGATAAATGCCATTATTATTCATGATGGTAACGGGTGAGTCTTGTTAGCGTAAATATTCCATTGTCGATATACTCGACATAGACGCGATGATCGTGCGGAATACGTGCATTATAATATCGAGCGGAAGAAAAGCGTCTGACATTATCATTAGAAAAGATGATACGTGCTTCGACGCGTCGTCCGCCTATACGTGTACCAATAAATACATGCACGATATGCATAATCTTATCGTACGATCCATTGCTCATTTAGTGCAATGTAAAATTTTCATATAACTTCGCCGTTGGACGTACCGTGTGCGTGCGCAGATGTTCGATTTTATACGGATGGATTGGAGCACGTCGGTTTTCGGACAGTTGTCAGCCGCATCGATGAGCCATCGAAATTTGATATGTATGACCGACTATTGATGAAGCAGAAATGTCCGATTTTTCTCTGACGATATGATGAATGTGTTTTATAATTCAGCTATCCGACATATTTTTAATATAAAAGTAAATAAAATGTAAGTCGTAAAATTAAAAGTATTCATCTTACTTGCTAGTAGGCTCTAAGATCCGAATTCAAGAAATTTTACAGACTGTGTCTAAATTTATAACGAACCATTTGAATGAAGTTTTTTACTATGCTGACTTCCAAAATAGACTGACATTGTAAATTAGATCACTGTATCATGTGATTATGGACATTTCTTGCTTGAAATTTGGACAACGTATTCGACAAATAATATACATATTATTGTTTTGTTTCTATGCTCGTGAATTGAATATTAGCATTTTTTTTTAATATTCAAGTTTTTTTTATAAAATATATAAAGTTGCAGACCTTTGAAAACATGTTCATGAATTCCAATTTTTCTGTTACAATTGATGAAAAACTTAAGAGCACAGTCTCAACGTCCACAGTATAAATTTAACTGTGGTCAAACGAAAATGAAATACTATCGATGTTCCACGCTGAACTTTATTAAAAATCATCTCAATACTTTTCTCTATGTTTCAAAAAAGAAAAGAAGAGGAAGAAAAAAAAGGAAAATCCGCAATTCATAGCGGTGGCTCGTGGCATATTCTCGAACGTATATAGCGAGTACGCAATAATGCAGAGCAAAATATTATCGAAAGTCGAGAAGATGATAAAAGCCTGCGTCTTGAACTCGACTCGCCGAGCGATATTGATAATCTGACGAAGCTTAAAATTTTTCTCTTCTCTTCTCCTCACTCAGCTTTGGAATATTTTTAGTTTACTATTGGTTGACTTTGTGCGTGTGTACGTATGGATATAAATACATATACATAGGCTCTAAAGCGTGTGAACCTTTCGTGAGGACAAAAGCTGCGACGAGCCTCGAGGATATAAGTATAATCTCGCGGTGAACGGAAAACCCGCGGATAAAAGATTTGAAACCTCGATTCTGCAACGATTCTGCTATGATGCTGTCCGACTTGGCAAAAATACTCGGAAAGAAAAAAAATTTCGCATAAAGCGTTATTTTGCCATTGTACAACCCCCACTGTTACTATGAACAGATAAATGTCGTGCATAGTAATTGCAAATCGAGCACACAGATAATTATAGCTATTTTTGAAAATATTTTTGAAAAATTTGGTGAATGTATTGTTAAAGCACTATTTTTAACCATATTCATGATAACTATGATCTTAACGAAAAATGTTGTATAATAAAAAAAGAAAAAATACGTGTGACTTTTTTCGGAATTTTAGGAATATGGACCAGATTTTGAAAAAAAATTTTGACCAAAAATGGGCGAAATTTTTTCGCATTTAAGACAAAATTGATATCAGCATAAAATACTAATTATCACAAAATTAAAAATTATTTGTGTCGGAAATTTCGAAACATAAGTAACGAAATACCAATTTATTGTATGAACACCTAAAAAGACAAATCTCATTGAACACAATATTTTATAGCACTCTAACCTTAAAATCGCAATTTTTCCTTTAGTTTTAGGCTTTTGTGCTGTAAAATATTGTATGTAACTTGCGTAAATAAGCTTTTTTTGTAAAACTCGTTACAACATGTGTACCTCGCAACCATGAGTACATTTTCTGCAACTGCCTGCGAGGTGAGCTTCGTTTTGCAAAAAATGTATATCCACACCTGTTGTATATATACATAAAGTACTATGATACCATTATGAAATTTATCTTAGATATATGGAAACTTTTAGGATATTCTTACAGCTATATAATTTATGATAAATTTCACAATCAAAAGGTTGCTAAGCAGGTTTGCTGCGATTATGCACTGAATTTATGTGAGATTTGAGGCTATACTTACGGGAAAATGGTTTATGGCAAATTTTACATTCGAAGGGTTTAATACGGTAATGTACAGTATTTATATGTGTATTGCAGTTGCCTTTTGAAGAAAATGATTTGTTACAAATTTCACATTCGAAGGGTTTTATACAATCATGTGCTCCATTCACATGAAGCTTGAGGTCACACTTTTGTCCAAATGATTTGTGGCAAATCTCACATTCGGGAGGTTTGCTATAACCATGTACTGAATTAATGTGTTTCTTGAGATCACATTTATATCCAAATGATTTATGACAAATATTACATTCGAAGGGTTTGCTCCGGTTATGTACTGAATTTATGTGAGATTTGAGGGTACCTTTTAGTCCAAGTGACTTGTGACAACTATCCCATTCAAAGGGTTTAATATGATCATGCACTGAATGAAGCTGCTTATCGAGTGAACACTTGCGAAAAAATGATTCGTAACAAATACCACATTTTAAGGATTTGCTGTGGTTGTGTACCATTTTTAAATTAATTTTGAGGTTACTTTTGCAGGAAAACGATTCATTACATATTTTACATTTATATGATCGAATGTTTTTACCTATCGTATTGATATGCTCGTTTAGGCTTGCTCTTGTTGTATAAGTTTCTCGAGATTTTTTGGACACGTTCGGTGATTGTTTATCAATATTTTTTTCAAAAATTTTTAACTTTTCATAATTGGTAAGTTTTGAACAAGAATTTACGGATAATTGGCAATTATTATCATAATCAAATCCTTTTTTGATCAATATTATTAGACTTTTCTCATGTGTATCTTTCATATGATTTTCATTTTCTTTTTTCGCAATAGATTGGAAACTTTGATTCTCAGCTTTGCAGATGGTTGTCGATACCATTTCGGGTTTTACATCTTTGCATTCAAAATCAATGTATATATTATCTTTTTTTCTTTCCTGTAACACAAAAATTTTATTTGAGTGTTCTACCTAAAATGAAAATTGTGAGATAATTTCTAATAGGCTATTCGTAGAACATACGTCATATTAATGAACTCACCGATAATGTATGAAAAGACAACGTTTCAAAATTTTCGGATTTGCAAGAATCCATCAAATCAAAAACATAATCTTGATCTGCGTTTGACCAAGTACCGCAAGGTTCTTCCGTCACCCTGAAGAATATTTGAATTTGAGAAAAATTGTTAAAAATGATAGTATAACGCACACAAAAAGCATACCTTACTAAGTGATTATTGCTTTCCATAACTTTGATGATAATATGTATTCACTATTCAATGCAATTTTTTACATAATATGTACTGAAAAATATTCAAAATTACTACCGCCGGTAGCCAAAGTTTTACCTAGATTTCACATATACACTTATAAGGATTAAATTTGAATAAAACACTTGCTTGGCGTGGTACTCGGCTCCACACTAACGAGTGAACACATCAGTCGCAATATATAAGCGAGGTGATCCGGCAAAAGCTTTAGATAGTTGATAAAACTTTGCCCCTCTACTTTCGACCGGGTCCATGCGCATTTATTTTGCACAAGTGTCTCTTTGTTTTTTGTCAGTACATTTCGCCAGTAGATTTCGCTAAAAATATTCCAAAAGATGCTCGTTTTATGCTTTGATGTGAGTATGTATGAGCAGTTCTACAAATTATTGAGATTACTTTTGAAATTTTCTCCGTTAGATGCGCGTAATGAACGTACCTTAACGTACCGTAACGCGCGTACATTTTTCAGTCAGTTTCGAAAAAGTTGCTATTTTGACCGTAGATGTCACTTTACTACGTTTCCACTCGAGTTAAGTCAGTCGACCAATCAGAGGCCGAATAGATTGGTTTCACTTTTAGGTCCATCTCTTTTTTATAAGTTAGATTAGATTACATAGAAAATTTTTGTTCAATAACATTTTTCCGCACAATTTATGGTTGTCGAATAAAAAATAATTGAATTTTTCGCATTTCTAGTTTAACATTCATAAAAAATTACACCATTTATAAGTCATTTTGTAGAAGCCTTGTAGATTTT